CTATGGAGCCATCATCAGGATTCTGAAAACACAATTGTGATGCTAGCAAGGAAAACAGGACAGATTTAATTTGTCAGACAACTTACTCGTCGGTGAGGTTGCAGCCACAAGGTGTTTCAAAACGAAAGTATAGAAAATCGAACTTGTAATCAGTATAAAAACAAAAGGACGGGGACATTGGGCTTGTTGAAAAACGACAGATACCTTCGTCACATGTTAAAAATATCAATCCACCCGAACAAAATTAAAAAGTATTACACATGAGATTACAAGTTCGATTTTCTCTACGTTCGTTTTGAAACACCTTGTGGCTGCAACCTCACCGACGAGTAAGTTGACTGACAATTTAAATCTGTCCTGTTTTCTTTGCTAGAATCACAATTCTGTTTTCAGAATCCTGATGATGGCTCCATAGAGAATGCCGAAGGCTTGATTTTATCGTCAAAAGAGTCAACTTAAGCCTAAAAAATTTTTGCCAATTTCCCAATTAACAATTGATTGTATTTTGTGCCCAACTGGGCGTTGGCTTTGGCAATGACTACTGCTCATATATATATATATATATATACGAGTATATCTATATTCTTATAAAGATCATGCTCGAAATGATATAAAAAAGTTCAGATTAGAATGAGCCTGGAAAATTATTTGGAAAAATAGATTTCGTTTCCTCAAAGTCATCCTGATACCGTGAAAGGTGCCTGCTGCAGTTTTTCATTAGGTTTATTAAAATAGTTCCAGCTTGATTACTATTGCAACTATAATAACGAAACAAAATTATGTACTGGTCAACTGATTTTCATTTAAAAAACGGTGCATCTTCAAGAAACAGTTTTTACGCTTTAAGACACAATTCTACATACATGAAAACAAGTGAAAATAGGTGGACAAATTAGTAGGTGAATGTGCTTGCAAAGATCGTAGTTGTTATTATTTGAATTTACTGCGCAAAGATCAGACCACTTATGATTGCATGCTGTCAATCATGGTGGTTTACTTCATCTGGGGTCATTATCTAGGCCATAGTATACTGCCGTCATAAGCCAGAACGCAGTAAGTGCAAAAATGCGAAGACGAGATATTGTCATTATAATATGAAAGGCACGTTTCTACGTGCATATTTCCATGATACAATACAGTATATGTCATGATAAAAACCGAAAATCTAAAATTTATCGTTTACAGTATCCAGCGTTTTTACGATCATCTTAAATTAGAATACAGTATCTGAACAACAATAAATTAACCATACAGATACTGAGTTTTAATTTATATCCAAAGCAATGGCTCTAGTAGATACTATAAGACATACATACACTTAATCACAACAAATTCATAACATTTTTAATAAATTTTCGCCGTTCATTTAGTAAAGTGGCAAGGATACTGTACAAAATTGTGTTTGTTTTGCTACAATTACATTCTTTTTAAAAACTACAACAATTGCATCACATACAAATATTCAGAAAAACAAAAGTTGCATCTCTAAGAATTTCCACTGTCCATGAAATGCTCCTCTAATTTTTGTTTAAACAACTTTAAATTACAAGTAGAGCTTATTTCGTCATTTAGTTTATAAAATTTAAGTAATCGTTTCTAAAATATTGATTTGTTAATTATATTACTATTGCAATTTTGTAAAAGGAAATTTATATTTCCTCTTGTATAATAATTGTGGTAATAATTATTCAGCTTTATGAAATGTAGTAATGTTGTGTGCAAAAGATGATTTTTTATTTTAAATATGAAATAAAGAACCAAATATGATATGGAATTTTTTATGTCCAACGACTGCAATTATTCTTGTAACATGGATTTCATTTTGATGTACTTATTTTCATTCAATATTACATAGCGTTTTATAGGACCTGCAATTTTGAGAATACAGCTTCATTGGCAGTGAGCAATGTTTATAGGTTTATATGCTCTTTTTAATTATAGATAGGCATCTTCGGTAAAATTAATGAATTCGTTAGAAAATGTTATCAATTTTACTTGGGAATAAACCAAAATCACCCTTTTTCATTGAAACGTTAAAATTTGGGAAGGATGACAACACGTTCTCATCGCCCCTGTAAAATGTGTTACCGGTAGATTTTTTTTATGTCCTGAAGCTGTCGTATAAACCATTTAAAAAAATATTACGGTTTCCAAGTTTCCAGGGCATACGTGTTCTTTTTAGACGTTACAGTTTGGCATACTGGTGTAGCTAATAATCTGTGCACCTGTGACTATCTGACCTCACCTATGAAAATTGTGCTGGTTCTGATTATGAATATGCTGCCAAAATTGATGGTTGCTGTTTGAATTTACGAAGTTGACTTGTAAATGACCTCTGAAGACGCTATCTAGGTCATGTTAGAGGCGGGCAAGAATTTCTTTCTTGGGAACCCTTTTTCGATTGGTGATAGGTGGCGCAGCAGTAGCGTGTGTGCGCAATCGAAATATCTATTTTTATTGTGTCATGTGAATACAGTCATCGTCGATACAGTTTGTCCACTGGTCGGTAGTTCCTATGCTTTGCTGTACTACTTTTGTCTATGTGGGATTTGATACTGTAACGAAAACACCGTCTTACTGTTCAAAGTGTAATTTATTTACTATTCCGAATTTTTACCAAAAAATCTGAAAAGAATCAACTTTGATATGTGTGTGTCAAAATTGGGAAACCCATGAAAAGTGTTTAAGTTCAATATTCCGTCTCCACATGGTTGGGCCACCCTCTATACCCAATTATAACAGGAGCGTGTATAACCACTGCATATGAGATAGGGATAGAATGTTGAACTTTAACTCATCAAAGGTGCCAAAAATACATCAGGCTGATATCGGCGTCACGTGCTTATTCGGATATTGCGATTTTCCTAATCACTGATCCGAAAAGCTGGATATTCGGAAGCGTTCCAGTATCGCGAAAATGAAATCTTCCACACTTCGAGCATCCAATTTATACAGATATGTTTCGGATTGGAAGATAGTGATGTTATGAATGAAGGTGCACGCCCATTGAGGGGAAGGGAAGACGAAGAGAAGAGAAGCAAAGCTCTTCCGCTGGGTTCACACAAAATGAAATGAGAGCCCTCATACTATAGTGACGCGAAGGAAAGTGACGTGTCACGTTTGACAAATGTCGCTGCAGTTCCCTTCGTGAATTAGGATTCGTAAAAGCAAATTTTCTCAAGCAGCTTATTCTTATTCATTCTTGAATAAAACGAACAGGATGATTTCATGGATAAACATTATATTTAACAATTACAGTAAAAAAAAATACAAACCACCCAACTACAGTAACCGAAAATAAGGAAAACTTTAATTGTGCTATCAAGACGGACTAAGGATACCTCGAACCATAAAATCCATCAAGCCGTTTGGGCTATAGCCCGTGAAATAAAAATTTCAACGTCAAGGTTTGCGTTTAAAAACGCCATTATGATTTTATGAAAACTTAATATACCCAATCTAGAGACACATCGTATGTTAAAATCCATTAAGCTTTTCAGTCAGTTTGTTTTTATAACATTTTAGTATGCTCTGAGTCACTAGCACTGCTAACACGAATCCAACAACGCTGCATACGTCAAAATTCATCAATCCGTTTGGCCTGTAGCTCATGAAATAGAATTTATTGTCTACATATAAACCCACGCGCGAAAAACATAACCCTCCTTCTGAGACAGTTGGATACACGCTTCCTAAGATGTGGATATATTGCCCCTGAAATGATGCTAGTGAAATTCGTTTTCCCTTGGTCACCCTGTATAATGATGGCTGAGCGGTGATGTTTTCTAGGAAAGGTTAAAAATGTACTCTTGTGTGGCATCGGCAAAATAAGCTATTTTACAGCGTCCTGCTTTTTTTCTTCTATATCCTAAATACCAGGGCACCGCGGCTGCTATAAGGAGCTTAAAGAAAATTTTGTTCATCCATTTTTTGAACTCTCTAAGATTAGTAGTACTGGGATAGATCGTTCCACAATATCAATTCCCCATGGACAAAGAAAATATTTTGGAATCTGCGTTGATAGGAAATTGATAGGAATTTTATGTAGGCTGAGTGGTCGAAGGTTTGCGGGTTCGAATCTCTATCTCGGAAGTTAATTCCGAGCCATGGATGTTGTGTTGCGTGTTGTCTATACCACACACCAGATTCAATATAGATACATCGCAGCACTGCAGGTGGTTTATTCAATAATCATTTACCAGTAGATGGCTTGATGATAAGTACAGTGTTGCAAAAAGGGTCAAGGGTAGCCTAGTTGCCAGGCTTCGGCTCCAGACCATTCATACTACCTCCTATTTATAGGAACTATTAGCGCATCTTTCGATATAATTTTAGAGATGAAAGCTTTATCAATAACAAACTTCCTTAACGTTAACCTCACTTGACATTCACCTCATATATGTTATTGACTTATATGTCAAAAAAGTGAACACTAACGTTTCTCTTGACGTTTCTTTCTACCTTATGTCATGAACTCTACTACTATTCGTCATTATTCGTCAGAGCGGTCCGGTGGACCTTTGGTCTTAGTTAAAAGTCTCGTCGGTCTGTTAGTCTGTCAGGACTGGTTACCCAGATACCAAACATGTTTAAGGGGAACAGGGAAAGAAGGAAAGAAAGGAAGGAAGAAATAGAGCAAAGAAAAGAAGTAAATCATTTGAAATAGGTTAAGCATTATTGCTTTGACTACTCGAATTATTTTGTAGCTCCAAAAAATAATTTTGATCGGTTTTGATACTGAAATAATTTTGGCTGGTCTGAATTTACAATTTAATTTTGATCACAGTGCGAGGCGCGGCCTGGAATGTTTGCGGACTTGCTCGACTGTGTAGTCTACTGAATCGCGCAACAGAGGGTTTCTTTGCGATTCGGATTGATGTCATGAACACATGGGGTGTTTGATTCGTTTAGAGGGTTGTCTAATAAGATTCAGGTTTCAATGGCCAATATAGAGCCTTAAGTTTTAAACTTCTCAGTATATTTGCACACAAACTACTGACCAGTCTTTTGATGACGTCGATCTGCTCGAGTGTGACCTGTACGGCGTCCAGGTGCTGGGCCTTGCAAGGTACGTACGCCGACCAGAACTGGGCTCCGAGTAAGCCCGCTTTCAGCCTGGGGATGTCCGTGTGTGACCATTTGCTCTTTGACCACGGCTCTTCCTTCTCGATGGCGCTCAGGTTCAGGCCACTCAGGCGGTTGTGCACGAATTTGCGCAGGTTCCACGGCAGGTCGTTGTGACCGTCGATCAAAGGCGTGTCTTTCAGCAGCTTCTTCACTACCTGAATGAAAGTACTTAATAAATAATGTTGTTAAAAGACAACAGATCTAACAAGTTTAAAATAACAGTATTCAATTTCTTTTATGATTCATGACTTACGTGCTCTTGTTTTTTTTATTGTAAATGTTTGACTTTCTTCTATTCTATGGTTTCTACATCCAACAACTTGTCATACATATAATTTATATAATATGACCAATAAATTATCTATCCAAGTGTATCCCTACACAGAACAAGGGGCTTCTAACTCTTTCTAACACACGAATTGCACGATTCTCGCGCTTCCCTCTCGTACACATTACGACCTCAGTTGTATTTTGTTTTCAGACTATAAGTCTCCATAAATAAAACATGTTGAAAAGTAGGAGAGGTCATACATTAAACCTACGAAATCTTCTACATAATGAGTAATTTATCCGAAAAGCTATTCAACTATTTATTGCGATAAAGTTTAGTAGTCGACAATTTGTGATAAGTCCATACTTCACGCAAATTGAATATAATAACTTGAACGTAGTTATTAGACATTTACTTTCATAATTACGTTCACGCTACTGTTGGTCAAGTGATCTGGGTGGATCAAATTGTACCCGAACAAACACGTATTTCATACACGCCGTAAGCCCTCCAGGGATATGTGATAAATGTTTTTGTGTGGAAATGTGTAACTGTAGTGCTATTAAATTTCGATTAATGACGTAGATATGCTAAAAAATACTCCTCAGAATTGACTTTTCGGAGGCTTCGTTAAAGTTGAAAGCACTGCGTCTACAGGGTGGTCCAACAAAATGTGGACGGATGATTGTGGTGTGTTTTGAAGTCATACCACTAGATCATAGTGGACGGCCCTAGATGCGACAAATCAAAAATACATACAGCATGATTCATATCCAAGTTGTATTTTTTTAAATTGAACTTCTGTATATTATAGCGTATTTATATTCCTTGCTAAATTTCAGGACGTTTAGCCACAATTGGCCATTTTTGCAAAATGTGGAGGTTAAAAATAATTGAATATCATGGTCATAAGGAGGCTGTGACTTTGAGGTAGCATTGATAATAGAGGGTACTTGCTTAAACCAGACGGCCAGAGATCAATTCTTTTTACATCCAGAGAATCCCTTACGACAATTTAGAAAACCTCAATCCAAGGAACTTGATTTTTTCAAATGAAACTACCTACTTTTTTTATACCATAGAATATTAAATTTGATCATCTTTCTAACGATATATTGTTAGTATCCGTCTCTGACAGTTTCATTTTGTTTCCAGATTTACTGGCTAATAGAGTGTTTCTTGAGCATTCTCCAAGAACACAAAAAAATCAATATCATTTATTACATTTTTTGAAAAATGTGAAATTTTCACCGTATTAATTATCTTTTAACGACGTTTTAGCAAGAGGTAGCGAACGAACCTAATAGTTAATATCAAAATATTTTATTGAACTGTGGACTATTTATACCTGGATCTTCTCAAGTACTTTTCATTTTCCAAATTTCCTACGCAAAATCTTCTTGACGACAAATATAACGATATAAATTAATCAGTCCAAAAACCTTCTATAATTTGAATTTTCCTAGAGTCAATAAGAACTGCGCCTGAAAAACAATCCAGACTTAAAGTACGAGTACCTACTTTCTTTGGACTAACGTGGTATTTGTGTTTCAAAAGATTAAAATTTCGAAGAACCTACACAGTTTATTGATAATAATAATAATTTAAAAAGTCTGAAGAACTGTTGCTTTAGCTGGAAATAGAGTTAGTGGTATATAATTTGAGTAAAATAATCATAAACGTATTTTTTACTGTTTGTTATTGAAACTACACTCAAATATTGATTTATTATCATGCCACATGTTTATATTTTGCACGTGTTAATATTTTTAAGATACGTAGGGAGAACCCAGGTACAGTAAACACTTGACAGAGTTGAATTTATGAAAACTGGGACTCCACTATCGTGAAGAAATACATACCTATTTGTTCAACTTTCTTCAATTATAACCAATCGATTGTGTGTGTTAGTCCATCTTTATACTATCTTTACAAACAGCTGTTTAAATCTTTAGTATACAGGGTGTCCCGAAAAAAGTGTGCAATATTTATATAAACATAGGTCGAAAAACGTCCCCTAAGGGCGCTACGGTCTTTTAAAGGGGCTCCCCTGAAGATGGTTTTTCCTTAATATTTCCGAAACGTGTTGAGATAAAGACATACAATTTAGTATTCTAGCCTAGTTTTTTACGCTGGATTTAAAAATATTAACAATTTTAGACAGTATTGTTTGGAAGCATATGTAACAGGGACGGACTCAGGTTGTTTTAGGCCCAACATTTTTTTGTGACTCTATTTATGAAATTCAATTTTAGAATTTGAAAATTTAGGGTTTTCTACATAAAAAAGGTACTCTTATTGAATATCGATAAATTGCGCCGTTTTTTGAATTAAATCAAACTAAAAAATTTGTCACATGATAGGATATGTACTGCGAATTTAAATGAATTGTTGAATAATTAGCCATGGCAACGAAAAAACGAATTTAATAATTGGTAAATATTACATAAATACATATTTCTATTGCAACATAGCTAATATTTAATCAAAAACAAAAGAAATAAATTTGTTCCACGAACGAAATTGAAATTTGTTTAAAAAAGAAGACATACAGTTGGATATACTCAAAACTAGCTTTACAATAAGTGTTCAAATAAATTCCCATTTTGTTGGATACAGAGTCTCGCTCGACGAACTGATTGCGTTGAAAAAACAAACTACAAAAAATTTTTAACATCAAAATTGGACAGCTTTTGTATCATCCGTTGTGTTGTATGTTGAGAATATTTGAGTACCTGGAAATGGAGCATAACTAACCGAGTACGAACTTTAATTTGATGTAACAGAAATGTGTCATTATTGTTGTTTTCATGTAAGTTTCCTGGTCACGTAGCCTAGCAACCAGTACATCAAACAGCACATTCCACATTGTTTACGATCTATAACTATTGCCAAATTTGATTTTTACATTGTTAATTAAATGATTTTCCACTCAGTTTTTTATCCAGCCATTGTACCGATCACTTGTACAAAATAAATCGTTTTTAAAAAGTACGAATTTGCTTCAAGAAACATAATTTGTATACATACATACTTTTGGCTTCACTCCTGTATATTAGCTTTATTCAGGTTCTTAATATGGTACCGTTCATTGTCCAGTAAGGAATACATGATGTTTGCGAACGTTGACGTACCTCCAGATAAAATGTGGTGCCAGTTTCTGCTAACTTTTGCAAGGTATTGAGAAATACAACGTAATACATTTTGGCAGGTGGTCGGAAACGATTATTCAACTTTTGTCCTTTGAGTGGCCTCAACATTCCTTTCAAATGGCTTACTAGAGATGAATTGATATCTGATTTGGACTCAACGATCATTAAAACATATATGAAACGCGTCTGGACTTTCTTTGAATTTGTCCTTGATGTGATCTTGAAATGACCTCCAGATTGCCTTATAGTGGTTATTTGACCCCAGATTCGAACTTAGTGAACAGAAAAGCCTAAATGACATGCGGTTGGGATCATAACCTCGGTTTCTTTTGAAAACGTCCTCAATGTGACTTTCATATGTCCTCATAGAGACAAGCTAGACCCAAAAAACCTCATTGTACCGAAAGTCGTATAAACGCTGTGGCAATTGTGCTTTTGTCAGCTTTTCATTTTGCAAACCTGACCTCGAGCCTCTCCTCGGCAGTCCTGGGTGGTGGCATCTTGGCATGGTTGAACGCGATGGGCAGTCCCAATCCTGCGGTGATGGTGGCCACTACGATGCACACGACGACGCATACGCACCACGGGCCTCGCAGCGACGGCCTGGCGCTCTCCGCACTGCCGGTGCTACAAGAGCACGACTCCATGGAGCCATGGAAGTCGTACGGTTGGTACGCATACCCCAGAGTACCGCGTGGCGCGGCGTTGTAATATCGCCCACCAGGTGGGTTGAAAGGCGGTGCTGATGGTGGCGGCAGGTCCGCGCGGGCGGGGAATGATGGAGGCAAAGGAGGGATCTGAAACAGAGAAAATATTTTCAACACAGCTCTAATGATTAAGGATGAAATGGCGTCAAGTAGGTGGAGTCTGCACTTTCCTAGGCAGTGCTGTCAAGTTTGGCGCAAGTAAGCCCATCTTAGAAAGCAAACAGGCATTTAATAAATTTTAAGTTGCGTAAAAAACTATGTGAAGCATTGGCCATATCTATACTAAATTATTGTGATATCGTATACTATACTTGTTTAGACAATTTCATTAAAAACGGTATTCAAGTTATTCAAAAGAATTGTATACGTTTCATCTTTGGCTTACGTAAATTTGATCATGTATCAGCGAAATATCCCGTTCTAAACTGGTTAAAAATTAATGACATGGTCAAGTATCTCTATTCAGTTTTTGCTCACAATTGCTGCTCACGTCTAAACCCTCTTACTCGAGGGAAAACAATCCATTTAATAATGATGTTCACTGTAGAACTCTCAGAGAAAATAATATTAGAATACCCCAGAATACGTCTACACTTTTTAAAATCAGTTTTTCTTACAATGTTGCTATTATTCATAATGACCTTCCTAAACTATATAAAGAATTTTCATTACCTGTCTTTACTTTACTCAACCCTCCAAACATATAATTTATATAATTTACGTAATCATTCATTTCTTTTTTTTCCGTCTTTAATTCAGGTAAATAATTTTTTGGTGTACTTGGGTATGGAAAGTATGCCTTTTTCTTTTTTCAATTTTTACTTTCGATGTAATGAACCAAATCTGTTTGTGGATAGTGAATACTTTTGAACATCTGCTAGCGACTATATGGTTAAGTGTAAGAGTAGCGGCATGCTTAACTTCGCTATGTAAGTCTGACATTTGGCTATACTACAATGT